TTCTTTTCTCTTGCTTGTAATCATCCTCTAAACATTTACCATGTTACGTTGTTTTGAATTAAATTAGTGAAGAAGATGAAATTATAAGCGATGACGATTCAGTCCGTCGGAAGCGGTACATACAGCGTTAATGCAGAAAAATGCAGGGAATTAAACAAATAGTTGAGTGTTTTGTAGTAATTAAAAATATTATTTTTCTGTCACTAAAGAATTTCAGCCGATCTCCGAATATAATCGGTGTATTAGCCTTCTATTTTTTTTGGAAAAGTTCTACAGGTTCTAATAAACTCCGAATTGATTAAGTTTGTCACCTAGCGGGGTCTTTTTTCAGACAAGCAATATGAGCTTCGCTTCTCTAGGTCAACTGCTGATAACGGTTATTGCTCTAATAGTCTTTCAAAGTTTAAATAAGAATGGTGAATCTCGGGTTTTTGCTTAGGATATCTCGAAGGCGTTTGACAGAATGTGGCATTCTGGTCTTCTTCACAAGGTGAAAGATCATGATATTAATGGGTGGATTTTTTATATGATTCAATCATTCTTATCCAATCCCGAATTAAAAGTTATTTTGAACAGCTACTCTTCTAGATCTCTTTGCATAAATTCGGATGTATCTTAGGGTTATATCTTGAACTTACGTTGTTCCTAATTTTCATCATGTTATCAGTTCTTAGATCAGTATATATGCTTATGACACAGATATTTACCGTCTTGATGGCAAGTCTGATTGTTTCATTAAGGTCAACATGGCCACCGATATCCTACAATCTACTTACAATTAACGCGGGCAAGGAACAGCTTGTTAATTACATGTAATTAAATGTAACCGCTCTTTTTTAATAGTCTTAGAGGGCCTATTTTGAATTCCATCAGCATGGCTAATGCTAACCTCCATGATAGTGGATCATTGCACCTTGTAGCTGTAATATTTTCACTTACGTGAAGTGGAAATATTATATTGAATCAACTGATAGGTCTGTTGCGATTAAAGTGATTCCAGGAGTTTGTAATCATGATTCTATGGATTGGTCATAATTGTAACGCGATTTTCTTCGCCAAAATCTTTCTTACACATCTATAAGTCGACCATTCGTTCATGCGTTGAATGCTGATGTCGCATTTAATCTTGTGCTTCTTCTATGTAATTAGAGATTCTTGGTGAAATACAAAGAAGAACCTTTAATGATATCGGCCGTGACCTAGCATCTCAGCTTCACTCACTCCCCCCCCCACCATTACGTAGCTTAACCCGTATCTTTTCCGGAAATATTTCCATGGTAATTGTTCAGATGAGCTTTTCTCCTTGTTACATCGTCTTTACGAATTCTAGATTGGCGGTTAGGTCTCATCATCTTACAACAAAAATTCTAGATATAACCGTAAATTCTATGCTAATAGATTCTCCTCACGCACTTCTCGCCTGTGGAACTCTCTCGCGGCCTCTTGCTTTACAATCAACTTTTACGTTCAAAAATTTAGATGTAATATCAATCTTTATCGTCTTCTTCATAATCTCTTTTTGTTTACTGTTTTCTTTTCCCAATAATGTCTTTTCTCATTCTTTCACGCTCAGTAAATGTTACGTCTTAGTCACTTTATTGTCTTGTTTGGGTTTAAATGATGAAATAAAAAAAGGATATCCCAAACTTTGTTATCAAGAATCACAAGTTAAATTTTACGTGAATTAGAATATAATTCATCATGTTTCTTTTTCCAGGACTGGTATTCAGCGACCATTGATGCAATAATGTATCGATATGCTTCTAGAATCACGCAAAATATCAGTCAACACCTGGATCAGTAATGAGATTACAGGTACTTAATGAATGCTTTGGAGGTGAGCGTTAAGCACCGAGCCATATTAAGAAGGAAATTTGTTTGCTTCACTATTTGGTTATTTCCCACCTTGAATGTCTTGGGAGAATTGAAAGCGATTATTTCCAGCTGTGAACAACATATTTTGACGAATCAGTTGCGAACAAATTTTGGGTTCTAGCGGAGAACCTTCAATAGGCAATTTGCACGTTTAATTTGTTTGCAAAATAAAGTAAACCGTTTTCTCATTAGTAGTAATATCAGTAGTAGTATTAATTCTAGTAATTGTGGTATCTGTAGTAGTAGTAGTACTAATACGTCTAACAACAAGAAATGTAAACCAGCTGTTGTAAATATTTACTTTCTATAACATTAGTTTCTCCTAATTTTTTGTTTAACGACTCGCTGAATATTCTAGTACTGTAGTTGAAGTGTTTCAACAGAAGACGGAAAGAACGACAATGAGATCCGAAGGCTTATTGGGATAGCCAATGGAGCGTTCCAGAATCTAAGCAGAATACTGAGAAATAGGAAAATTTCGCTGGAAACAAGGAAAAGTTTAATAAGCTACTGCTTAATACCTATCCTCTTGTATGGCAATGAGTGCTAGATGATTTTCTCAAAGATGAAGAGGAGACTTGAAGCAACAGAAATGTGGTTCTACAGGAGGATGCTGAGGATATCGTGGACGGAGCATGTGATTAAAATGGAAACAAAAAGGAAACTAATACTTAACATCTGGAAGATACATATAATGAGGAAGGAGGGCTTGGAAAATATGATACTCACGAGACGAGTAGAGGGCAAAAGGAACAGAGGAGGAAACGTATTTATGAGCTTGAGTATATGGGTGGCGGAACGAGTCGTGGGAAAATAACAGAAAGACAAAGTTTAAGAGCTACAAGAGATATGAAGTTGTGGAAAGCCATGATCGTCTATGTCCGGAAGGGACACGGCACATAATAAAAGAATTTCTTCGTCTCACTAAATTCTGACTTTACTTACAAAACATAGTCGACTATATTTCTTTCTTTTTGTAAGTTCGGAATTAGACTGAAGTTGCATATTGTGCTGAGAATTCTTGCAGACTTGCTTCATTTCTGTCTTTCAGGAAGTCCAAACCTTTGAAACTTTGGAATGGATCCTTTGTTAGAACTCTCACCTATTTATCTCTGCACCCACTCCAAAAAAAAAACAACAAAAAAAAAAAAAAACTGAGAATACATCCCATAGAGGATCGCATTTTGTTGTGGTTTTCTAGTAACTACTAGAAAATCACTAGTCGTTTAAGTAAACTGTTTATATTGCATTTGGTAATATGCCGCTATGATGCATCCATCATCCTGAAAAATACGAGACCGTTTACACATCTTGTTTATATTAGAGAGAGAAATGAATACAGGAAGAAAAATGTATTTGGAAGCGAAAGAAAACAAGAAATTAGATAGAAAACAAATTAAGAATAAAAAGGACTGAAAGAATTCAGAACAAACAGAATAGGGAAGATCGAAAATAAACAGATTGTTAAGAAGGAAACAATAAAAACAAAAGCGGTGAGGCATTAAAAAAATAAACATCATTTCCTTAAGAAAAAACAAATGGTTAAAATTGATGTTTAAAAACCAAGAAGCACAGTGCGTTTCCCTTTCTTTTTTCGTGATTCAATAACTACTGGGTTTAAATCCTATTTCGCTATTCTCTGACAGGCCAAGAAAACAGAAAGCTTGCTTGGAGACAATCAGAACTATAAAAATAAAGTTCAATTTGAGCTGAATTTTATTTTAACCAGTTTATACATCCATACGAAGCTAGTATAGCCTTTATTTTTTCTTCTTTATACCTTCGATAACATTATAGTTTTGCTTTGATTTTTATAGTATATACATAATAACTGCTAGTAAAATTAAGCTTACACAGAACAGAAATTTAATTATGTTGTTTATAATATGTGCGCTATAGAAGGAAGTTATATTTTCCCGTTTTCGTTTCTCCCATGATGGGCATTATTATATCCACGATATAATACCGCCAAATATCACGGATGATACGGAATAGCTGAAAAAAAAAAAACGGAATGGCAAACATGCTTTGTTCTCCGAGAGAGTTTTATGATGCTATGTCGTAAATATATTTATATATACATCTATACATTTGTGCCACATAGAGAAATTATAATATGTATGTAACAACAAGCAGTGGATAAGAAGGGGGGACTTGTTTGTAATATTCCCCAAAGGGAAAACTGAAGTTACAGAGGTTTATCTATGAGCCTAACAGTCATGTTCTTTTTTCTATAAGATGTACAGCTGTGGCCGAGGCACGTCCATCTTATCCGAGCTTTACACCGCAACCACCTTCGCCGCTCTATCATCTGATGGCACTGGCCGGTCGTCACTCACTGGCTATCACTTGACCTTCGTGATCATCTCAACGAAAGGGAGGTAATCGCTTTTTTTGTATTTTTATACTTATAAAAGCGTCATCGCGATTTCGGTAAATTGAATATTAACTCTTTATTAGATGTGAGCGAAAAATTTCAGTGTTTTATATAGAAAATCTAATTCTATATTTTATTCCGCCTCTAATTATCAAATCAGAAATATTATAATGCGTGAACAAAGTTAATATATCCTAATATTTGTTTGAAGATATTTATAAAGGAATATCTTATAAAATAGTCGATAAGTAAATCCTTTTAATGTCGTATTGTAAATATCCTTAAGTAGTTATTTTTTTAATGTAAATAGAAATCTTTTATTATGGTTTTGGTTGCAAGTCGTCTAAACTTTTTATAATCTATATCCTTTAAGCTTTGTTGAGTTCTGTGTCGTCTCTGTGTCACCACGCTATTGCATAAAATTGTATCAACGAAAACGGCCATTTTGTTTTCTTATTCGTTTTATTAGGAGAGACAGGTGGCATCTTGTATTCTAAGAGGCAGCGGGAGGAATGACATCACAAGAACGCATGTCGCACGTTGGTTCAGCGTCCCCCCACAATTCGTATTAGTCAGTCTCTCAACCTGGATGTGGGAGGCGTATCGAGGCTTTGAAATTCTTTACATTTTTATCATGTCTTTTTGTAAAAAAACCTTTGTCGTTTTGTAAATTCTTATAATTTTTACTCGTTTTTTAAAAATACTTTTAATGTTTTCTTGCTATTTGTGAATCCTTTAAATGTTTATCATGTCTTTCTCTAAACCCTTTTCATTTTTTACCATGTCCTACTGTCAAGGCCTCAACCTGTTTATGATCTTTTGGCAAACGTGCATCTTCGTTCTCGCAATAAAAATGTCTGTCAAAAGGGACGTTTTTTTCCCATGACACTTCAATCTTCGCCAATGTTTACTGCTTTAAAAAACGATGATCACAGTTGTATTAAAATCTAAACATATGAAAGTGAATTTAATATTTTTTCTTAAGAATTGTCAATAAAATTAATAAACACTATTTATTAGATTGTTTATTTACACTATTTATTAATTACATTTTTATTAGAATGATTGACAAATCATCGGCTAATTGCCAATAGATTCAAATTTTATCAAATGGTAAAGAGTAAAGATTTCTTTATCGTTGGTTTACATATTTCAATAATTAAGGAAATGTTTATAAATTTATGAATAAAAATTGTTTTAATATTTATTTCTTATAAATTGGTAAATAATAAATATTGCATTGCATTAGTTTTAATTATATTACTTTTTCGAATTTTGTATAAAGACTATATATGACAGCCATATGGATGGATGGTTGATTTACAGATTTGAAGGATGCACTCAGATGAGAAAAACTTTCTGGCACGAAACAATAAACCAACTTTCCTTGCGGTAGATTGTAAACTCTTTTACATTTTCTCATGTCATTCTGTACATCCATAAACGTTTTTATCGCACATTTCTGTAAATTGTTTTTAATTTTATGATGTCTTTTTGTAAATCCTTTAAACATTTTATTATCATTTTTTAATCCATTACATTTTTGTCATGTCATACTGTAAACTTTTTCACATTTTTATAATGATTTTAAATGCTTCGCATTTTTTTAATGAAACCAACGGAAAGAGAAAAATAGCAAATAAGAAAATACATCTGAAAATAAAAATTTTACAGTAAAAATTGGCGTGAATAAAGAAATAAAAAGGCGCAAAAACAAAATAATGGAAGTTTTTTCCACCTTGGAGCCCGAAATTTAAGTGTTGTGAGGAAATCAAATAACGCTGATCAATACCATAATTTGGCAAATGTTGGTTGTTCAATCCTCACCTTTCTCGTCTATAACAATTAAATGCAACAATATTAATTGTCAATAATATGTTTTTTCTCTCTCTTATTTGATTTACAGCTAATAAAAAGAAGGAAAAACACAGAGCTTTCCGATTGGTGTAAAAGCTTGTCAAGAGAGTGTGTGGAAACCAGAATGATTGAAACTAATCAATTGCGACCTTCGGCCTACAATATTGACTTCATTAAGAAAGAAGGGATTTTTTATTACTAAACCGTTAAGTTGGATTTAACAAAACTTTTTACGGTCACAAGTTCAAAATGAGGAATTAGCGATATGTTGCTTTCAAAGCTTGATTTGTTTTTTAAGGCTTATCAACCGTTTGCGGGTTACCTTTACCGAAATATATATCATATTGTAGGATGTTACTCCCCATGTAAATACTAATGAGGCACGACAATGGTAAACTTTGGTGATCGAACGAAAACCGGTGTTTTCTGCTTGATTTGACTGGAAGTTTCTTTCTCAGAGGGAAATCAAAAATCAGACATTACAGAAAAATGAACTTTTCTGTTGTCTGTGCGGGCGTATGTTTGCCTTATATATGCAGGTTTTGAAAACTGGGGAACATTTCAGAATTTATTTGTTAAGGATTGGAAAGAAAACTAATGTCACTGGGAAAGAAAGAAATAAGAATAGAGAGAAAAGTTGTTGATAAAAAGTAATAAAAGGAAATAAGTAATAAAAGGAAATAAGTAATAAAATAATAGTCGGAAAGGTAAAAAAACTATAAGATTCATTCTTTCATTCATTGTTTGTTTCTTTCTGTTTTTACTTTTTGCTTCTCTTTGTTACTTTTTCTTCTTTTTCTTTTAGCCTTTCTCTTTCTTTCTTTCTTTTTAGTTTACCTTTTTCTTTTTGTCTCTTTCGTTTCTTTCTCACTCTTTACCTTTTAATTTTTACTTTTTGTCTCTCTCTTTTTTTTCTTTTCTTTCTTTCTTTCTTTCTTTCTTTTCATCTCTCTCTTTCTTTCTGTCTCCATCTTTACTTTTTCATTTTTGTCCGAAATTATTTCTTTCTTTCTTTCTTTCTTTCTTTCTTTCTTTCTTTCTTTCTTCACTGTAGCATGGAGTAATTGTTAGTGAGTTTTGTCAGATTGACCGTTACTCCTGAATAGCAAGTTCGACCCTGAAATGGTGCTACTTATAACATTCCACTTTAAATAGTCCAACAAGAATCGACGTCGTAAAATCAACAAACCGTATCTATCTATCTATCTATCTATCTATCTATCTATCTATCTATCTATCTATCTATCTCTCTGTTCATTTTCTATCTATCTATCTATCTATCTATCTATCTATCTATCTATCTATCTATGCTTGCACACAGAAGTGCTGGTGTAAAGAAATGTAAAATATGCCACGAGCATTCCATGTCACCCTTACATCCACACCCCTCCTCATTATAAGCTTTGATTATTTATAACCAGCCTTTATTTTTAACCCAAATGTTAATTTGCTGGGAACATTAAATTTGTTTCGTTCAATCGAGCCGTCCTTCGCACAATGTTTGGGTAGTAGGCTAACTCTTCTCTAGTTTCAGAATAGAAGCCAATCAGCAAATATTGTCAGACTGAGATACTTGGCTAACGCAATAAAAAACATTCAACCTGAATGCGACATAAGACACACCTTTACGCCACTTTAAATCAACTGACTTAAATGTCCGAAACCCGCCATTGCAGTACCTGTTATACTCAATATTTACCTAAAGTGCCAGATAGGTGAAGGCCGACAAAAAATTCTATGCTAGAATCAATATTCTTTGATTCAAAGCAAATATTTCTAGCATCTGTAATGCGCAAATTTTCCAAAAGACTAGTTAGAAAATAAGTTATAAAAAAAACAAAAGTTATCATCTGAATCTATTTCCACAAAGGCAAATACTTAAAACGAGTTAGATAGTTTTGCATTTTCATGACTGTTCTTTGGTGAACGAACTTAGGTAAAAAGCTAAGAATTCCAATGCAGAGTCTCAGGAATAGTGAGGACTCCAATTTTGGTATCTTAACACAAACGTTCTCACCATAATTCCATTCTCGTTCTGATCTTGTACCAAAATAAGACATTTTCAGTGTTATGCCGAAACAATTTCTGCACTCAATTGCACACCAGGCTGAATGAATCAAGTGCAGGATTACTATGAGATAAACACTATCCTGGTGGAGAGATTCGTGATTCATTCGCTGTGAGTGGTAACCCTTACAGTGAACACCTGTGGGCCCGGCTCCGATTGATATATGTATGCGTGAGAAAAAACCGATAGCACCCGAGAAAAGATTTGGACAGTCTCCTAGACATGGCAGAAAAGAACGTAAGGTCCACGTTCAATTGATAGTTCAACGTGGCCACGCGCACACATGCACACTGGTCGAGAGTACCCCCTGAAGTACAGTAGTGAAATAAAATGTAATGTTAAATATGAAATATTCACGTTTATTATTTAGACGGGATCCAATTATTTCGAGAGTGAAACCATGATAGGTAAAACTGTAGCGAGAAAAATCGAAGAACTAATCCGAAATTTATTATTATATTAAATAGAGTAAATTTATTATTGTAATTCTTTTATGTACCTTGTCCCTGCAGGAAGTGCACGACCGTGGGTCTCCGAAGTTTATTGACCATTGTAGCACGAAGTAAGGTTTGTTCTTTTATTATCACTTCTAGTCCCTTTCTTGCCTACCTTTTATACCAGCTTGTTAGGTAGGTTATTCGCTGCCTCCCCCTTGCCTCTCTTGTTTCCAATATGACCTGCCGGTGTCAAATACTCCAAGACATTTTCTCTAAAATGCCGTTGTTACTTACATGTTCAATCCTTGGGATTTTCAGCGCCATTTTCGTTGCCTCAAGTTTCTTCTTCCTCTGTGAGGATATTGTCCAGCATTTACCGTTTTAAAGAAAGATCGATATTACATAAAGGTTTAATACACGTTTTTTTTATGTTTTTAATGAGATCTTCCTGTTTTTCTTTTTAACTTGCTTAGCTTTTGGAAAGCCCCTTTCGCTGTTCCTATTCCCTTATGGATTTCAGTCACATTTCCTGTCCTGTGATAAATTACTTCCTTTAAATTTCCGTAACTGTTTGATTTCGGTGCTTTCATTTTGTTGTTCACATCTTGGTTTGTTCCTTTTGCTAATAGCCATACACTCTGTCATCATACAATTCATGTCTATTCCTTTCTTTCCAAATTTTTTTGTACTCCCTTGTCTAAGAGTTACTTCAATTTCCTTTCAATATCTTCTACCAACATTGTGTCATCTGTGTAGTTTATGTTGTTAAGATTGAGGCCGGCAATAACGAACCTTGGTAGGGCTTCTAATTTTCTCAGGATTGAATAAGTCCGGTTAGAAATCACATTCTTGTCTCACCCCACTTTCTATTTTTGTGTATTTACTGAATTTATTTATTTTTATCCATATACAGGCGGCTTGCTATTGTTATAAAATAAAATAAGACATATCTCGGCTGATTTACGGATGTGAACGGGACAAAGCCCCGTCACAAAATGACCGTTAACTTTCTTTACAAATGTTTCCGACACACGTGTTCCGGTCGAAAAATAAAATAATATTTAAAGTGCTCTATTATTCGTCCAATAAAAATGCTTCCCTCCTAATTATACTCGCTTCGTTTCTCGAGCCTGTTAAGCCATAAAAAAACGCTATAAAAGGGGTCACACGGAAGTTCAACAGGCAGTCAACAGGTGGCCAGCGAACAGACCTGACGGTCAGGCCGAGCGATCAGAAGCAGGGGAGCGTCAACCACCGTCAACATGTGTGAACTACTATGAGAGATCGACCAGATCCAAAAGCCGGCTTATGAACTTTACCACAAGGTAGCTGTCCCAAACCCTCACGTTCCTGTTGAAATGAAACCACCTAAATCTATTTCTACTGTTGTCGTATTTCTTTCTTGCAACCATACGCTTGTCTATAATTCTATCAATGTATGTTCTTGATTATTCTAATATCTTTCCCAAATAAATCGAGCTTAACCAGCAATTTGAACAGTTCCTTTGTATAATCTATAAAACATACATCTTCATCTGTATTACTCTTTCTCTTATCATCTTGAACATAAATATCGCATTTTTAATTCCGGTGTCTCTTACGAAATCTCACTGCTCTTGTCCAGTTTCTGGTTTAATACTTTTTTCGTGCTTTATTCGTCAAAATATTCAGCCCTCCCCACCGGATCCGTGTTTCGTAGAAAAATTGATAAAACTGAAGGTGGGTACGTCTTTTTGCAAAAACCATGGCAACGTTACACGAGAACAAAATCTTTACTGGGTGAGCTGATGTTCTTTGCACTTAATGCAAAACATAACTCGAGGTTTATGTAGAGAGCTTCATAGTTTTAGAGCGATAGTGGCTTCGCATAAATTATTGCCAAAATCTGAAAAAATCAGGCTTTTCGTACTGCTCAAAATAAAAACTTGAATAACTTGTTCATTTTTTATGCGATTTTTTCCGATTCCACAAAAAAATTGCCAACATGCAAGAAATAAGAATGAGTGTTTTTAGTCGTGTTCGCTTCCTCGCGTATAACAAAATCCCCACGAAAACCTTTTTTAAAAAAATCTGTTTTTTGGCAATATCTCCCTGGTTTTTCATCCGATGCTTTTTCAAATTTGCTATGTAAGTTACATATAACGCAGATTGTCTTGTGAATGTTTGGTTTAGATATTTAAGTTAAGTAGACGAAATCTACGGCAAACTAGGTTTTTTTCAAACAGTTTTTTGAATATGATTCCATCCTAAATTAACATTCGAAGGCAAAGATTGTTTTGGAAGAATTATAGAAGCGTTAAAAGGAAAAATTTGCGAAAGACCTCTTATTAACCACAGCTGTACAGTAAACATGCGATGGAGGAGGAAGGCTTTCATGCGTTTGCACTTGCCGTTCAATCAACCACTGACACTTCAATTATTAGATTTGTGAACAATGCCATACTATTTGAAAGTTATGACGGCTATAGAAAATTTACTGAATATCTAAAATATTGAAACAACTTAACTCCGAGTAACGACCACACGAAAATGTTTTATCGAAGGAATTCCATTATTAAGAACAATGAAACACTTGCGAGCGACATACCGTAGAAAAGATGAGAGGGAGTATCTTAGTATACCAACGGATGATGCATGCAAACGGAGACACAGGCAGACATTTCTAGACAGAATGTGTGGCTATACAGTGGGGTGCTGGTATACAATTGCAAACATGTACACCATACCTCATCTATTATGCAGACGCACGCACAGACACAGACACACACACACACACACACACACACACACACACACACACATATATATATATATATATATATATATATATATATATATATATATATATACATACATGTAGTGCTGGTGTTAATATATATATATATATATATATATATATATATATATATATACAGGAATAGTGCTCAATGTAGACAAACAGAACTATAAATTATATATGAATAATAAATATACATTTTTCCTCAACGGGAGCCTATTTTCAATGAGCATCGGAAACTATTTGTGTTACCGCTGAGAAAAAATGTATATTTATTATTCATATACACACACAGATGCGCGCGCAAGCAAACACTCACACACACATACACACACACACAAAACACACACACACACACACACATATATATATAAGAAATATAGTCTATCAATTATAGTTAAGAATAATATTTTAAAATAGTAGTTCAATACGACGTATTCATATACAAACAACCCTTTTAGAAAAAATCCTTATGTATACAACTACAAATTTAATGGCCAAACAAAAGTGCCGAAAAACATTTTGTCGTTGATAAAGACCAGACGACATGCGTTGAACAGATGTCATCATTGGTTGAAAAAGCACACATACCCTACCTTAACTTAACCTCTTTTCGAAAGTAACTTATATTTTGATACAATAGTTGTCAGTGAAAATGAATACCCTACTACCCCTTGACAAAATGATTGAATTTCCCCGTATCCTTAGAAACTAATATTATGAATGGATATGTTTATAAAACTTGGTAAATTTCAAATAAGTTATTCCAAAATTCGCTTAAAAATGAAACGAGACTAGGGACTTTCATTTGATTCTATAAATGGATTTGAAGTTTTTAGTTTCTGTTTTCGAAACATGACAATTCCTGTGTAGCGATGGAACCATATTTTTACATGAGTAACTTTATAATATATATATATAGGTTTGCGTATGTGCAAATCCACGCTACTTATTCATTTCGAGAAATGTGTTTATCCATGGGCCACAGCCTATGTTTTCGTATAAGAAATGCAGTGACGCCCTTTCTTATCAAATCAAATGATAGTTGTATGAAGGTTTG